AGTGGCCTGGCGCGCACCCAGCCAGCTCCTTCAGCACCCTCGGGCGTATCCCATCTGGTCCCATGGACTTGTGTGTGTCTGTGTGATGCAGCAGGTCACTGACTGTCTCCTCCTGAAATGTGGGGGGGTTGTTCTCCCAGTCTCTGTCTCCTGACTGAGGAGGCTGGATTCCCTCAGTACAACTGGTCTTGTTATTAAAGACTGAGGCAAAGAAGGCATTAAACACCTCAGCCTTTCCTCATCACTTGTTACCATGATTCCTCCTGCGTCTAGCAGGGGATGGAGGCTCTCCCTGGTCTTTCATTTGCTGTTGACATACTTATAGAAACATTTCTTGTTATCTTTGATTGCTGAAGATAGATTAATTTCCAGCTGGGCTTTAGCCCTCCTGATTTCCACCATGCATAGCCTCACAGCCTCTCTGTAATCTCTGTGAGTGGCTAGCCCTTCTTCCAAAGGCTGTAAACTCTCCTTTTCTCCCTGAGTTGCAGCCAAAGCTCCCTGTTCAGCCAGGGTGGTCTTCTCTGGCGTTGGCTTCTCTTAGAGCACCTGGGGACCGCCTGCTCCTGAGCCATTAACACTTCCTTCTTAAAGAGCACCCAGCCTCCCTGGGCCCCTGTGCCCTTCAGGAGAGTCTCCCAGAGGATCCTTTCAAGCAGGTGCCCAAACAAGACAAAGTCAGCCCTTCCAAAGTCCAGGATGTCAGTCCCGCTTAGCCCTCTCCTGGCCTCTCTAAGAACAGAGAACACTTATTTCATGATCGCTGTGCCCTAGTCAGCCTCCAACTGCCACATCATCCACCAGCCCTTCCCTGTTCACAAAGAGGAGATCCAGCAGGGCACCTTCTCTGGTCGGTTCTCTCACCAGCTGTGTCAGGAAGTTGTCTCCCACACATTCCAGGAATCTCCAGGACTGGTCCCACTCTGCTGTGTTGTATTTCCAGCAGATGTCTGGGAAGTTAAAGGCATCCTCAAGAACAAGGGCAAGCGATTGTGAGATTTCACCTAAGTGCTTATAAAATATCTTGTCCATCTCTCTGTCCTGGTTGGGTGGCCTATAGTAGACTCCTGCTACAACATCTGCCCTGGTGGCCTTCCCCCTGATTCTAACGCAAAGACACTCCACCCTGTCATCACTACATTTGTACTCAAAGCAATCATAACAATCCCTAACATACAGGGCCACCCCACCACCTCTCCTTCCCTGTCTGTCCCTCCTAAAGAGCTTGTACCCATCAATTGGCACACTCCAGTCATGGGAGACATCCCACCATGTTTCTTTAATAACAACGACACCACAATTTTCCTGTTTCATCACGGCTTCAAGCTCCTCCTGTTTGTTACCCATGCTGTGTGCATTGGTATACATGCACACCAGATGGGCCGATATTTTGCCCCCTTCCCTCTGCAAATCTAGTTTAAAGCTCTGTCTATGAGCCCAGCTAACTCCTGCCCCAAGATTCTCCGTCACCTCTGGGACAGGTGCATTCCAGCTAATGCCAAAAGGTCTGGTGCTCTGTATACCAAACCATGATTGAAAAATCCAAAGCCCTGACAGTGACACCAATCTTGGAGCCACCCATTCATCTGCTGAATTCTCCTGTAATCTTCCTTATCCATCCCCGCAACCAAAGGGATGGAGGAGAACACAATTTGTGCCCCCGACCCCTTAATCAGTTTTTCCAAGGACCTGAAATATCTCTTCGTTGCTTTAGACCTTCTCCTGGTGATGTCATCACTACTACCTGAAAAACCAGGAGAGGGTATTAGTCCTTGGGTCTCACTAGAGTGGGGAGTTTTGCTGTGAGGTCCTTGATGCAAGTCAGTCAGTTTGATTGTGGGAAAGCAGATTCTGTTACTCTCAGTGAGAGCCGTGTTGTGTTGTCAGGTCTCCAACTTGTGTTTTCCCATCCATGCTGCAGAGTCTTCACACTGAAGAGCTTTTCATGAGACAGTCACTGGAATTAGCCCAAAGAGAAGCAGCACTCAGGCAGTTAGGTTAGTCCCAGTTCATGCTAAGGAGGTGCAGGACCAGCACAAATCACTTCACGTCCATCTCACTGAGGGGAGGAACTAAGTCCTATAGCACTTATGTCTTCTTGGTGCCGGGGTGACATCATCTGCTAGTTGCAGTAGAGTGAGGCTCTCATTTGTCTTTTCCCTGAGCTGTGCACAATCCTGACAGACATGGAATGGCTCAAGGCAAAGTCAATGGACAGTAGAATTAGATAGAAACTTTCTCTTATTACTGCTACTTGTCCATGTTCAGTCTACTGAATTTGATATAAAAATGGATTTTTCTAATCTACTCCGTGCTTTCATTTAGAGAATCATTAACCTGGAAAATGGGTGTGGATTTCCCAGAAATGAAAGTGAAATCTCAGATTGTGCCTCTCTGCTTTTAGTTTGACAGACTCCTGAAATCTGTGTTAGTCCCTGTTGCAAGAATCAAAAGATAAATTAAAAAGTCTTTTTCAGGATCATCAAGATGCCCATCAAAGTTGATGATGTGATTCAACTGTTGTGCCACCTCTCTCAGGAGAAGGGGATGAAAGCTGCTGTCAAACATTCTGCCCAAGGAGCACTGCTGGCAGGTGCAACAGCACTTCTTGGGGGTCTGGTGGGAGGTCCACCTGGAATCGCTGTAGGTAAGTGTGTTTTGCTTTAGGAACGAGAAGTGTGGTTAATTCTCTGAGTGAAGAAATGAGGAAGTCTGTGTAGTAGGTACGGGTTGAAGGCAGGGGGCATGCAGTGCTGAGAGTTCATGTAACTGGGCTTTAACAAGATGCTGTTTTGCACGTGAGCTTATTAGAAAGGAGCAATGAGTCAGGAAAGCGTGTGTCAGTGTTTCCTCCTAGGGTGAGAGTGACCTTCCTGACTTGGACCCCTGTGTGGCAAGCTGGAAGCCATCCAGAGGTCTGAGGTGAGATGGTGGTGCCTCTGAAACCCTTTGAACAAGCTGTTAACCAGTCATTTGCTTTTGGTGGGTAGAGCCCTGGTTCCCCTCCTCAGAGGGACGCCAGTGTCCACAGGGTGTGGGACGAATCAGAGAGCAAAGTACCAGGCTCTGCGCTCGTGAGAGCGGGCTCTGCTCCAGTGCTGCGGGGGGAGTGAGGAGCAGAGGGGTGAGGCAGGGGCCAAGGAGCACAGAGGCGATGGTAGCAGTCAGGGAGGAGGTTGGTACCTGGTGGCACAGAAGAAAGAAAACTGGGGTGTAAAGCAAGGGTGTGTAAGTGTTCTTGGTCAGCCTTAGCAAGGGACAGGGTCATCTTCCCAATGCTCTTGTTAAAAATGATGTTTATTTCTGTATTTTAAAAGTACCTGGTATTCACTCCTGGTGAACTTGTTTTTTTTTCCTCTGGAATTCATTATTCTGTGTCTCTTTGCTTTTTATCCGTGTACGGAGAATTACAGGAAGGCCAGAGACTAATAGGAAAGAGCTGTCTCTCCTCTGTGTTTTCTGCATTACAAGTTGTCTAGTTGGAAAGCTGCCTTGTCACTGAAGTCGTGTGGGCCTCGGTCCTTGAGTGCTCCTTACTCCTGAGAGCTTACTGGTATTGGAGTGTGCCTGCGTGAGGGTGAGCAAGGCTGAGTTATAAAAAGGAACTAAATAATACATGAGGAAAGATAACAGAAAATCATAGAATCACAGAACTGTTTGTGTTGGAAGGGACCTTAGAGATCCTCTAGTCCCACCCCCTGCCCTGGGCAGGGACACCTTCCACCAGCCCAGGCTGCCCAAAGCCCCGTCCAGCCTGGCCTTGAACCCTGCCAGGGAGGGGGCAGCCACAGCTGCTCTGGGAAACCTCTGCCAGCGTCTCACCACCCTCACAGGCAAGAACTTCTTCCTGAGATCTAACCTAAATCTGCCCTCCTTCAGTTTAAACCGTTACTCCCCCTGCAGAGAGCCCACATTTGCCTCGTCTCCTTTTATCACCACTGTACCTGTAGAATTCTTTCTTGTTGCCCTTGACATCCCTGGCCAGATTTAAATCTATCAGGACTTTGGCTTTTCTCACCAGATCCCTGGCTGTTTGGACACTTTCTCTGTATCCTTCTCATCCGTCCTTGCTTCTACCCTCTCTAGGCTTCCTTTTGCAGAATGCAAACTGAGGCTGTGTATTTACTCCTGTTACAAGTACAGAGCTTCATTAATAGCCAAAATAATATTTTGACCAATGTACATCTGAAGTTACCACGAACAAAGGAGTGAATTTAAGCTTTTGTAAAGAATTTGTAAGCTTTAAATCAGAAGTAAAAGTAAAAATGAAAGTGGCCTCATTCTCGAATGAGATGATGAGATTGTGTGCTCATGGCACTGATGAGGCAATTGTTTATCTGGTGTTTTCCCTGGGCGTGGTTTCATCTAGTAGTAGAATTTACCTGAAGCAGTGCCCTGAGGAGTGTTGCTTTGTTTCTGATTCCCAGCTTGAAGCTCTTATCTCTGATTGTGTAAAGAGTTCCTTTGTGTTTGCTGTGGGTGAAGAAAGCTTTAAAAAATACTTCTTGGTGCATCGAACATGGTGTATAAACCTGGTTAAATGAGACACATATGCAACTCTGCCTTGATTTCTAATAAAGGCGGCAACATTGCTGATGAAGGCTGTGGGTAGAATGTCGGGTTTTAACATGAACTGGTCAAGAGTAACATCTCTCTCTTTTCTAGGAGGAGCATTTGGTGGATTGCTGGGTGCCTGGATGACTGCTGGACAGTTCAGGCCGGTCCCTCAGATTTTATTGGAATTGCCTCCTGCTGAGAAGAAGAAGCTCTATGATGAAGCCATGGTTATTCTCAGTCACTTAGACTGGACTGATATTACTCGCCTGACTCTTCTTGTAATGAGAAATGCAAGTCTCCAACAGAATTTGGAAGCATGGCTGATAAGTTTCCTCTCTGAAGTGCTAGGAGCAAAGATTCAGTATATATGATAAATCTTTCCAGAGCAGGTTTTTTTTTTATTATTATTTTTTTTCTCTGACAATTGTGATTCTTCAATGTAGCAATTATTAGTTATCAGTACTAATTATGAGTGTAGGCAGATCTCAGTATTAGTTTCAGTTTGGGGGCTTAGTTTTGTTGTTTGGGTGTTTTTTTTCCTTTTTGGTAAGGATTACTGCAATTACTGTCGTAAGGATTACTGCATTACCTGACATTGTCTTGCAATGTAATTTTGAAATACTCTGCACTAGGACTGAATTCAAAATCACTGAAGGAAATCATGCTTCTCTTATGCCAATATAACACTAGATAAAATTTTCAGTCTTTGTACTGAATCCAGTTTGTGCACGTGCTTTCACTTTCTCTGTAAATGTCATCTAGGAGTCAAAGTAGTCGGGGCATTTTGAAGACTTTTCCTACTGTCTGTTTCAGTCATCTTACTACAACATATTCTGAATCCAAGTATATATATGTAAAACACAAGACATAAGCACAAACAGCATGGAAACATCTGGCTATCAAGTGAAATGATATAGAGATCCACACTCGTAAAGGCAAATGTGCTCAGGCAAACACATGGAGAGGGGAAGAGGTGGGAGGAAGAGGCTAGCCTACAGTTAAAATTTGTCTCTTCTCAAGTCTGGAGCAAATACTCAGAGTGCATCGGTATTTGTCTGTGAGCAATAACTGAGATTCAAGAACCAGTGGACAGAAGTGGCTTTGTGGACAGAGGGTCATCAAACTTTGAGAAGTCTGAGCCTGAGAGATGTCCCAGCTCAGGGGAGACGCTGGTCAGAGCCCACTGCGATCCAGGAGAGCTCAAAGGGTCTTGCTTAGAATCGCGCTTTAAGGTTCTGCGATAATTGGCTCTTGGCAGGTACTTTGCCGTCTCAGTCCAACGCAGACGATGGAACATTCTGGTACTTTCTACCAGATGTGCAAGCCCAGAACTTGCTAGATCTTGGAGTTTTGGTATCACCCCCGTTGGGCCACAACCCAAGTTGGATGTACTAAGTTGTCAGGAGATAGTGACCCTTACTGTTGTTGTTAAGCGATAAGAGCGGGGGGAGCAGGAACCAAGTGTGCTGAGGGAGTGCCTTAACACTCTGGTCCACTGCCTTTGTCGTTGTCCTCAAGCGCTTGGAGAGGAGGCTTAGAAACCAAGTGGGCTAAGAGGGCGCCTTAGCGCTCTGGTCTACTGCCTTTCCTGATCCATGTCATCTGGCATGTCGTCCGTTTCCCAGCGATAGGGAAGATAGGCCTGGGGAGCGTTAAGGATGCCTTAATGCTCGGGTTCGCTGCCTTTCCCTGTTCACCCTGGGCTGGCATGTGAGGCGGGCGGAATATTGCACTGAGCACCGAGCAGCCCAGGAGGTGTGGGACGGGGCTGCGCCACCACACTCTGCCATAGTTTCGTAATGTGAAGCCAGACATCAGTGTCTGTTCAGTTTTTAACAATCTGTCAGCCTTCACTGTCGAGCGAAGGGGGCTTGTGTCATATGGGTACCAGTAGAGGTTTGGTCCGAGTAGCTGGGCGTTCTGCATGGGCCAGTCTAGCTTATGTGAAGCCCTGCTGCCCCTGAGCTCCCGAGAAGCTTTAGGCTCTGTGCCACAGAGCAGCATGCTCTTAGTTGGTGTAACAGATTTCCCTTCCATAGGTTTTCAGACGATTGAAGTAGAAGCAGGGAAATGCATCGACTTGTGTTTGTTCTCTGCATCATTACTGAAGAGGTTTGGTGCTCGCGGAACTTGCTGGCAGGTGGCAGGTGCCTCTTTTCAAAGTGGTAGCAATAGGGTTGCAGTCTGGTCTGAAACACGTTTCACTGCTGGCAATGGAAGAAGAGCAGAATCCAGCTCACGTGTTCATCTCAAGTGAGTTTGGACGTACGAGAACTGGGAAATAACCACTTGTGATTGTGGAGATCCTGGTACGTAACTACCGAGGGAGAATGAGCGTGGCACCCGGCCGTGGTTGTGTTGTTTGTATTTCAGGGGTTCATGGCAGTTCATACAGTTGAATGCTGCAGAAGGATCACGTTCTACCCCTAATGCTCTGACTAGAGCCCTACGCTACGGTGTCGAGGTCACCATGATGTTTGGTATGTCTCCTTGTGCAGGGATTTGGGCGAGTTGAAAGAACTCTTCAGCAGATTTGATCATCAGAGGAAAAGACCAGCTGCACAGAATGTGTTAATATCCATCTGTTGCTGTTCTTGGGTAGAGACATGGCTGTCCACCGCTGCATCCCTTGCTGGTATTGGAAACAGCTACAGGCAGGGGATGGCATCTTCGGAAATCCATTCCAGCTGCATAAAGTCCGGGCTGCGTGTAAGGCACGGCCATCGCCTAGGAAACGATGTAACGCCGTGCCAGCACTTTCAGAGAGCAGCTGAAAGACTCACTGTGGGGAGGTGTACATACTTACATAAAGAAACCATCTGTGATGCTGCTTGTGAGCCTGCTTTGGTTGGAGATGTGTCAGAAAGTCGTGGTTTAACCCCAGCCGGCCTATAAGGAGCACAGAGAAGAGTAAAAGAAGAAAACTCGTGGGTTGAGATGAAGGCAGTTTTACAGGTAAAGCAAAAACCGCGCACACAAGCAAAGCAAACCAAGGAATTCATTCAGCGCTTCCCACCGGCGGGCAGGGGCCCAGCCATCCCCAGGACAGCCGGGCTCCGTCACACGTAACGCCATCACGTCCCCCCTTGCTCCTCCTTCCCCCAGCTGTATGTGCTGAGCACAGGGCTGGGATATCCCTTGGGTCAGCTGGAGTCAGCTGTCCTGGCCATGCTCCCTCCTAGTTCCGTGTGCGCCTGCTGGCTGGCAGAGCACGGGAAGCAGAACAATCCTTGGGGTAGGATAAGCACTGCTTAGCCACAACTAAACATCAGGGCGTTACCAACATTATTCTCATACTAAATCCAAAGTACAGCACTGTGCCAGCTACTATTTAACTCTGTCCCAGCCAAAACCAGCACACAGAATCAAGCTAGGTTTTCACTGGCAGGGGCTGTATTCTTAGGTAAAAATTGCCTTTTGTTCTTTTGGGGCTTTTTTTTTGGCTTGATTTCAAAATAGAAAGCGGCTTGATTGCAAAATAAAGTGTTATGTAGCAAAGGGAGAGAATATCTTTTTTGGAAAAAAAAAACCTAAAAAGCAACCCTGAATTCAAACATAGATTGGTATGAGATGTGCTGTCTTACCGCAATTAGATTATTTCTTAAATTCTGCCTGTCAAGGCTGGCTCAGTACACAGATAACAGAGTTACCTTTTTTCCATGAAAAGTGGGGTTAACTTCTTTTTCTGCTCTTACTGTGTTAAATTTCTGGCTTTAATGAATTTGTATTAGATTACAAATATCAGCCCAGCTACAGGCTAGACTAGAATTCATATACATGCCCTGCTGGAGTTGGCTTTTTGGTGATTATCGTCCGTGAGCAGTGTTTGGTGCAGCTGCATATCACGTGTAGTTATGGTGAGAAGATACACAAGCAGGCAGAGGAGGGTGGTTTCCCCCTCATGATGCCTGCAGGACAAGTGGATTTTGTGAGCTGAGCAGCAGGCAGGTCGCTAGTCACGGTCACAGCACAGGCTTCCCACAGGTCCCCTTCCCGGTGGCATCGCGGGGACTCCCAGGCGTGGTCTCTGGAGGAGGATGAGAACTGCAACAGAGGCCGTGAACGAAGGGTGGGAACAGGGTGTGGTGTGGTGCACCTTGGTGGCACACCCGTGGTACTGCTTAATGAGTTGCTATAGTGGTCATTAACTGGGGGTTTACGGGGTTTTGGTGAGATCCTCGTGCTCTGCAGGGAAGAGGGTTCCCGTTTCACCCCACTGAGCCCAGAGTGCACCAAGAACCCTAAAAGCAGCACAGTCCTGAGGTCCCGTTAACTGACTGATGTTGAGTTTAGAGCAGGCAGTGAGGATCTCGCCAGCAGCGGTTATCTGCCCCGAAGGGGACCAGGCAGAGCCGCTCTGAGCCCCAGAGCTGAGGTTCTGCAGAGTAAGTCCGTGTCCCCGCGAAGGAGGGTCTGGTGGCTCAGCCCGTTTCCATCGCCACCCCTTACGTACTGCTGCAGTGCACGGGGCAGGGCTGGGGTGCAGTTGCTGCAGTCACCGGCTCCCAGCAACACTCCCCTCCAGGGAGGAGAGCTTGTGCTGCAGAGGCCTCGTTCGGGCCAGGATAGCCGCTCCTTTGAGGCGAGATGCTGTTCAGCACACACAGCAGAAAGCTACTGAGACCCAGCATGTCCACCTGTCTTTCGGGTGACACCTTGTTGATTGCAGCCCAAAGGTGGTTTGCATGCCTCTTCTCCCTTCCGGGTGGTTTATAGGAAGTCAGTGTTGCAAAACTCACTGAATGGTCTTATGGAAGGGGAAGGGGATTGTATTACTCAAAGTCATTAAGCAAACTGATTAAGCCTCTCCTCTGAGTGGTGTCCTGCTGCTTTCACATACAGGTATAACTGGGCATACATTGTTTATACCAGTCTTTATATTTCTGTGAAAAGCTATGCAGATCCATGTGGAAACTCCGTTTTTCTGTTTTGCTTTTTTTTTTCTCACTGTGCTGCAGCTGTTCCAGTTAGTGCCCGCTAGTGACATGCAGGCAGAAGAAACCAAACACCTTTGCACTGCAGTGAGCTAAAGCTATAGGCCCCTATATGAGGTTTCATCTTTTCCTACGTAGAGATCACTGAAATCTATGTCTTGTTCAGGCCGTAAGCCAGAAATCGAACGTTCATCACGTAACTGCAGTAAGTGTGGGATAATACTTCTCATTAGGTGTGACTTATGAATTCCAAAAGAGCCCAAGAGGTAAATATATAAAATTATTCTGAAGTCTGCAAAACTGAAGCATTCATTTCTCTGGACAACTGTTTAGCACAAAGGATTTAGACAAACGTGAGCAATACAGCGTTCAACACTCCGTAGAGGCACTGCATTTGGCTGTCTGTACCTCTGCCATTCCCTCAAAGCAGTCTGGTTTCATGTAGTGTCACTGCTGATCTTTCAACAGAGACAGCCCTTCAGCTGTCAGCAGGGGAAGCAGCGTGGCTTTTTTTGCTGGGCTTCAGAAGCGGTATCACCTTCAGTGGCTCTTCCGCTTGTTTGCTGGGTGACCTTGAAAAACTTCCCATCTCCATCCTCAGTGCATTTTTGGTCAAACTTTGTAATCAAGAAGAAGTGGTGTGTTACAAAAACGTGATAGCAATATGTGGCGATAGGGATCTAACCACTCTCTGATCCTGCTGTCAGGACATGAGCATTAAAGAAGGAGAAATGTAAATGTTACTAGCGGTTCACAGTAACTGGGA